AAACTGAATAGTTTTATATGTTTCAATTATTTTTTAAAAAAATCTGGTTTTAAATTTTTCTCTTGCCTTTCTCTTGCTCATTATTAAGTTGTAATATTCTGCACGACACTGACAGTCATCTCACGTCATACACACCGCTAGAGGGTTCTATTTGGCTTTTTCAGAACCTTAGACTAGACCCAACGTCTGGGTGAAGTGCACCACCTAGTGGCTTTAGGAAGCAGCGATGCCCAATTGTTCACTGTACCGAATTTTGGAAAATACTATGGTGTATGTTTTTAGAAAATAATGAGAATTCTAAACGGCAATGCCAAGTTCATAAAAATATCTTCCTCTAAGGTGCATATTTAAATCACTTAATAAGCAATGAAATTCCTTAAAATGAAATGAGGTAAATTGACAGTACATAGTAGTTATGTATAGCACAGATTTAAATGACAATTAATTTAAATATACTGCATATTCATTTAAGTACACTGTACATTGCTTCATGGAGATGAATCACATACAATTTAGACCAGTGTATAGGAAAAATGTTCCCGCTGACAATCACATGTATGTGATTGTTCAGATATATTTTTTAACTCCTTTTTAACATGTCAAACGATTTACCACAGGCAGTGTTAGTAAAGGCGTTTAAAAATATTTGGCCAAATTTTTATGTTATTACATAAACTGCACATTCATGAACATATGCTTAATTATTTTTCTTTTAAGAAGGCACTCTTCAGCATTTCTTTTTTACTCTAAATTCCTTGCTAATATCTAGAAAATGTACCTCTTTCACACTTCTACAAATATGCTTAATTTACTGTATAAGTCCTAAACAGAAGATTGACCGCATACTAATAAAGCACAAAAGATCAAGTGTTAATGGTAAGATTAACGTGACTTTCTCAAAGAAAGTTTCTCATTGCTACTTGCTTAACTTCCCATAGCGTGCATAGTTCTCATAAGTCATCTGTTATAATCCCAAACTTCACATTAATTATTATTGGTCACACACAAATAACTTACTCAATATGCCTGAAGCAAAGGTAAGGCTAAGAAGATATTTATTAAAAGCAAAGCAAGCCGACCTGAATCCCTACAGAACTAGTGTTGATTTCATTTTGAACATGAAGTTATAAAATCTTGCAAATAATTATAAATCAGAAACCAGTATGGGCTCATTTTGAACCAGTGGCAGCAAATCAAACAAATTTCATTCTTTCTTTTTTAAAGATACTGTTGTTTGTCTGATAGTTTAGAAAACTCTGCACAGTGTAAGTATCTCTCTGTTAAGTAGATGCATGGATTCGGCATGTGGTTTGAAGCAGGAATTTCACAAGGACTTTTTGATGTAGCTGTGAGATTGAGAAATAGGGACTGGACGTTAGGTGGATTTTCAGTTACTGGTTAATGAATTTAGACCCATTTGGATGGATGTCTCTAGGATCACATCTCAGGGCTTTTCCCTGAACCTGTCCTACTCAAGACCTGGCAAAAAATGGAGAAGCTGAAGGACAGAGCTGCAATACTAAAAGCAAAGTGGGTACAGAGAGGTTTTAAAGTCATTTCAATTTATTAGAATGGGCCTGAATCAATAAAATAGATATAGAATTGTCATTTCCCAGACGGCGCAGCCCTCGTAATGATTCTGTCCTGCATCGCCCAGCCTGTGGCTAAACACTGTCAGGGAGAGAAAGCCCAGCACAGGCACACCTCCTCTCACTCTGCTTCGCTTCACTGCATTTCACAAACGTGGTGTTCTTTTACAAACCGAAGGCAAGACACTCCACCAGCAAAAAGATCGCAACTCATTTTACTGTGGTCGTCTGGAACTGAACCTGCAATATCTCCGAGGTATACCTGTACCCCTGAAGGAGCCATCATTTGACGGACAAGTCCAACTATAAGTACAACACTGCATGTTTAGGTTTAAAAGAAATCAGCTTGTAGGTACAGGGGATGGACAAGATCTAGTTTTCAGCAGTTCTTCATTTAGATGACTTAACAGAGAGTCAAATGCTCAAAGACTTAACATTATCTTTGCATCTATTAAGCACATCCATTAACAAGACCGCTTCCCTCAATTTGTGGTGTGGGAAACTTAAAAAGACATAGTGATGAGTTGGAATGTGTCCAGAAAAATGTGGCTGAGAGAACTGAAGGTGTCTGATTTGGAGAACTGAAGGTGCCAGTGGTTCATGATGGTGACACAGTGATACGAGGGGCACCAGGGCCAGGAAGTGATCAATGGAGTCATCTCAGTCCACCAGAAGAGACTAAGAGCCAAACACCCCTGTAAGAAACAACTCAACGCTGTAAGAGGGGAGATGTTAAGCGTACTACTTGCAACTACTAGAAAAATAAGTCCTGGCGAGCTAATGTACAGCATGGTGATCATAATCAACAATACCATACTATAAGCTTCAAAGTTGCTAAGAGACTACATCTTAATTGTTCTCATCACAAAAAAGGAATCCTAATTATGTGATGCAACAGAGGTGTGAGCTAATGCTATGATGGTAATCATTTTGTTAGTTATAAATGTATCAACACATTGTACACCTTAAACTACACGATGTTGTATGTCTATATATCTCAATAAAAAAGACAAATGATCAGTCTAGCTCTGATCCCTTTATTGAATTTTAAACCCAAGTATCTAATTATCTACCAGACGAGGACTCTACCTTCAGAAATTTCACCCAACTTGTCTTGCAGAAGAATAAGCTGTCACTGGAAATGTTTAAGGAGAGGTAAGAAAATTACTGCTGTGAGAACAGTCAACCAGAAACCACACTTGTGCACAGGATAATGACAGCTGCAACCACCAGGTGTGAGGATCCAATAAAAGATGTCTAAGTGTGCAGAAAACTGCAGAGTGGTGACTTGATCTCTGTGAGAGGTGATACCCAAGGGATTCCTCTATTTAGGAAACAAATTAGATTCTGTGATGTATAAGGTTTATTCAGACCTTCGGAGTCTATGATTTCATCTTATTAATAAGCCAAGCTAATTAATTCCACTTCGGCATTCAAAGTTTATATTGTTTTGAATTACAATACACACATCATGTCTCCGTTACTTCCACAGCATATGGTAAAACCTGTAAGATGCAATCCTCTTCTGCCATGGAGTTAAATCCTTTACTAGTACTTAATTAAACCTTTTCCTCTCTTTCACTGTTCATCACTTAGATAAATGGAATAGAGGTTTCTGTGTGAAAAGAGGCTAATGTGAATTTCAGAAAGTTAAAAAAAAATAGGAATAACTCAAAATATGTGATGATTCACAGGAGGAAGATCATTTGTTTTAAACAGAAATGCTCCCATACAAAGTCACTAATATGACTTGATCGTACTTACTATGACTTGTGTTCATTATCTAGATACAGAATGAAATATGCTTATTCGACTTTCATGTCTTTATACTCATTCTTTGCTTTATGATAAAAAAATTGATTCACAAATAGTGCCTAAGAAATAGATGAAAAGTTCTCCTGGGGAAGCTCAGAATCAATGGAGAGGGAAGAATCTGGAATTAGGTAGAAAGGGGGAAAGGATTGGGGTCAGGGAAGACAGACAGAAGAGGCAGTTTACAAACTGTGTTGATTACATTAGAAATATTAAAAATATAATGTATTAAATGAGCAAAAAGTTAAAACAGCAGATTCTATTATGCTTTTCTGACTTCAGGCAAGCCTCCTCCTGTGCCATAACTTCATCACGCACAAAAACGATGGAATCATGTAGCTGTCTACGTAAAGCAACTCTGGAAGTAGTCTGACACAATAACAGGACTAAATCAAGGCAAAGAACGCCGATTCTGGTACCTCAGCTGGGAAATGGTTTATACAGTGTGATGATTTTAAGAAATGGGAATACTATTTACACAGCCCCATGGGAATCTGTTACACTTGAAGTTTCCAGTTAGAGGCAGGTGCTGGAGTCCGATTCCTTCTGGGGATACTCACTGGACCGGACCTGCTCCATCCATGGCACGCTGCTGCCAGTAATATGTGTGAATAAATTTCCCTCTTCTACCTGCTTCTTTGAGCTTCACACATTCCAGTTGCCCCTCACTTTTCCTAGGAAAGGTAATATAATTGTAGGGTCGGCCTCCCACCTTCAGTCTCTTCCCAGAGCATCCTAGTGGTGGCACTGAATAGGATCCAGAAGCCAATAGGATCCGGAGATGCTGGCTGAGGGACACACACAGAGAATGAATGAATGGGGGTGAATAGGGGGCTAAGTGAAGACCCAATCAGCTTATTTCCTAGGTGGTTAGACAGACGGGTGTTTGGATGGATGGGTGAATGAGCAAATGAATAAGTGGGTAGGTAGATGGATGGATGGATGGATGGATGGATGGGTGACTGGGTAGATAAAGATGAAGTAAGTGAATCACTTGAGGTCTCAATTTCCTTCTCTGTAACTGTGAACACTAAAAATTCTCTCCACAAACAAACAAACAAATACCAATGAGAATCAAATGGAATCATGTGGAAATATTTTTCTAAACTCCCTGTGGTGCTATGTATATGTCACTTTATTATTATTATTATTATTATTTGTTTGGTTACTTGGGGGATGAGATCGAGGACAGAAATATATTCTAAGTAGAGGTTAAATGCCAACTTTAAGAGTAGAGAATAATTTTGTTCAGCTTGCTGTTTGATGTGCTATGTGGACATTTTAAAACCTGAAAAACAAGACAGTGATTAAGTGCTAATGATGATGATGAAAAAGACTAGATTACTGTGTTTATATCATTATAAAACTCCTCAAGACATAGAAGAAATACTTCAATGGTTGCAAAAGTCTACCAAGACATAATAAACCTTTCTCAAGTAAGAGAGAGAGAACATTCTACTCAGAAGGTGACTAAACTTAAGATGCACACACGACAGGTGGGTACAAGACACCATCCTAGCACATATGGCTGTGGAGTCCAGCAGCTGGCCCTTCTGGACTCTCAGTGACCCTCTGGTGAGAAGCCTGGAGAAGCTGTACCTGTATGTGTTCTCCGGTGAGCCTTCAGGTGAGAACTTTTTGTGTACACTTTGTTGCATCCCTCAAAATCACATCTGTGGATACGCCGTTTTCTGGAGTCTGGCGATTCAGACCGTCTCTGGCGTCTTGTGCTCTCAATACTAAATGGTGAAATTGAACTGGAAAAAAAAAAAAGTGGAGTTAGATAGTGAGAGAAACACAGCACTCTGTTTTGGTTCTAGTGGCATGAGACCTCAGTGACATACTCTACAGCTTCATACGGACTCAAGGCCCCAATGTTCACACTTCCTGCTGTCACTTTCTCTGACGCGTTTCATTTCTTAATCTTGAAGGCAGGCAGCTTGACCTATTTCTCGTAAAAGACATGCTTAAAAACGACAGGACAAAAGCGAAAGCTAAATGGAAGCAGTGGTAGGTGAGTAGATCCCCGTTATCAAACGCGAAACAATCCGGTGGTGTTAAAATTACACTTCCACGATTTGAGCTTCTGAATACACTTACAGAGAATATCTTAGGAAGCCCTGCTATAGACAAATGACGAAAACGAAGGCATTTAATAAGTACCATGAGGGTCTAAATAGCATGAAACAACGAAGAAAATTGTGTAAAATCACGACGTGCATTTCAAAACAAGTGAGGCTGGGCTGAAAGAAGTGACATCAGTATATCAATTACATGACTCAGGATAAGCTATTTCTGTTCGGTAAACTGCACCTGACATTCGACTTTTCCAGTTGATGGTTTTTCATGGTAAGGAACAAAGTGCATTGTATTTAAAGATTAGCTGTACCATCACTAGGAAAAAAAGTTTTAACTATAAAATTTGGCCCTGACTTGCATGTTGTTTAACCTTAATGCCACAGCAGAAAAAACAGGATTAGTTTGTAATGTCAGGCAACTGATTAACATGCACTTCTTCAAACCTTAATCTCTTTTGATCGAGATCGAACTGAAGAATATGACTCATCTTTTTTAGTCATGAAGTTTTTAAAATTATAGTGAAATATAACAAAAACACTTTTACTATACTATACCATACTTCTGTTATAAAAATTTACCATTGTTAATATTTTGAAATATTTTCTTCCAGCTTTTCCATGTTTTGATGCTTTTTAAAATTACTCTGCATTAATAAATCATCTAGTTTTAAAAAACCTGAACGCTACAGATAAAGATAAAATCCCTCTTGTCTTCCCTCATCATCCTGATCCCAAGGGAAACCTATCATCGGTTTTCTTCAAATTTTTCCAATTCTTTTAAATTATGCATACCTATGTATATCTGTATTTACGGAAACTCATAATATTGTTTTGTGGCTTTTAAGAGACATATAATGTCATGCTGCTCACATCATTCTGCAAATTGTTCTCCACTCAACACTAAGCATTTGAGTAAGCATTTGAGATCTATCCACATTGATACAAACACTCTAGCTTATTTACTTGTGCTGTATATCACAATTCATTGATTCTACGGTGAACTTTTTAATATTCTAATGTTTCTAAAATTAGGATGCTTCTTACAATTGATGGCATATCATAGTTTAATTGGCATACTTTTTTTCTTTATTATTGGTACATAAAGTAATGCTGCATTTTACAGTAAATAGTGTTTTAACTTGGATCAGTGGTCGGTAAACCTTCTCTGAAAAGGGCTAGATTGTAAATATTTTATTTGGACTTTGAGAGTCATACAGTGGATGTTGTAACAAATCTACTCTGCAACTGTAGCATGAAAGTAGCTCTAGACAAAATACAGACAAATAAGTATGCTATGCCTAATAAAACTATTTACAAAACAAACAGTGGGGTATTTTTGGTTCATGGGCTATAGTTGGTTGAGACCTGACTTAGATGAAATACGGTAGGTAGTAGACCAATGACTACTCATCTCAGAGTTTTTAAATCCATTTCCTAAGTGATGGAATATTATTTCTAATACTTCACTATAACATTGCAAAAGTCAACTTTTAAAAAATGTCTCCTTCTACCTATGTGTCTTTTAAATTTTCAATGTATCTTCTCACTTGTGCAAATAACAGATTCAGTAGTCAAAACTTTATGTTGTTAGGTAAGATCAAATATAAATAACGTTTATCTACTTGTGTCTTAAACAGTTTTATGTAAAAGCTCTATTAGTAGCATGAAAAACCATATGGGACATCTAAGCCACTTTTTCCAGCCTTCTTATCAGTCACTGTGGATTTGTGGTTTTCCACATAACTGACTCAGTTGCAGGGATTGGAGCTATTGTGAAGGGTCAAAATAGTGTGACGGGTTTGGCCATGAAAGAAACAGCTTTAGTTACTCCTGACAAGGCATGTTCTGGTATAGGGTGTGGTTCTTGTGAACAAGTGAGACTGTACATGTGAAAATAGGGGAACAGTAATTCATTTCTTAAATCATTAAAATAAATATGGATCTTGGCAATGGGGACCTCACAAATAAAACTTTTGTGTTGTGATATATTTGATATCTTTTAAATAGAGAAAATGACATGGTATTTGTTTGCTTCAAACTATAACTTGAAGTCTATAATAAAAACACATGGTTTCATACAATACTTGCTACATACTAATATATAGAAGTCTAAATATAACTATTTTACATTTGTAGTTGATTTTAGATATTTACCTTGCTATGTATTTGTATATAGAGAGAAAAATGAAAAATAAATCTGAAATCAAAACCAAGTAACAACTAAGCAGGTCTTTAAGGGACCAATGAAGCAATACTTCTGTATAGTCCATCAACCACTGAATTATACAGCAGGCAGTGAAAGGAAAGCAATGGCTACGGAATGACATAAAATTACTTTACTAAGAGTTCTTAATTTACATCAAAATTAAGATGTGCTAGGTAGATGGTTTTAATGTTATAAAACTTCATGCTCTTGTTTTCTTCATTTTAAAGTGAAATGTTTTAGGACATTATGAAGAACCAACACCTAAAGTTAACTGTGCAAGAAAAGTAATTTTTTTTAACAACAAAAAAACGACAAGTGCAACAATTAGCTGCACTCAGCAAAGCTGGGTTTGACATGACATTCTATGAGGAAGATTTGTCCTTGGTTTCCCTTTTAAAATGGCAGAGACATCCTCAGATGTCAAAGAAACTGGCTAGGCTGTACTCTTCCGAACTGCTTATTTGATCTCTTTGTGGAAAGGAAGGAAGGTCAGCGGGTCTGAGGTAAAAGGGGATCAAAAGTGCAGAAGAACTAAAAAAACACAGGAAAAGGAGAGGACACTCTAAGGGCACGGAGGACTGACTGCTGCTGTGCTGGGCCACAGCATGACCCACGGTTGGCAGGCGCTATCGGTGCAAGACAACCGTGGGTTGGGAGTTGGGCCAAGTCAAGTCCATGGCCGGATGTGACAGACAAGCTGCTGGCACCAAGTATGTCTGTATCTCTAGAGCCTAGAATATTGTGGACATTCAAGAATTAAATATAGTGAAAGGATGGATAGATGAGTGTTACTAAATCAGGCAATCCTAATTTTCAATTTAATATCATCAACCAGTTAATCCTTAATTGATTATCTTTACTAGGATCCTTTAATTGTAAGTCTTCAGAGAATGATTACTTAATTTCTCACTCTTTCTCTCATTTCCCTAAGTTTCGTATTTTAAATACTATACAAAGCAGCTACTAAATATCAGGGAATCTGGGTAACCATTAAAAACACATGTATATAAGTGTGTCAGTTCTTTGCTCTAAGTTCAAGAGAAAGGCATTCTAAAGCATTGCTTACCATTAAAATTCTCAGTGGGAAGCCACTGAGATCCCTCTGAACATGTACAGGATGCTCAGGATGCTGGTGAACTAAAAAAACCCTCTTTTGGTCACTGTAAGCACGTAGGGTAAGTGGGAATGGGTGAAGGACTGATCTTTACTCTCGGTACATCATATTGTCCTATCTCACTTCGGGACACGTAAGCATGGGTGTTTGGTAACAGAATAGCTATAATCACACTTTGGGTGTTTCTACTCTGCCCATTCTGTGATTTCCAAGCAATGTGTCCCTTTGTTTAGAAGGCACTTATTGGTGTCCTCAAATGCATGGAAATGAACTTCTGGGTTTCAAAACTGGCCTTGTTCTAATGAATGGGCATGTGAAGGTAAGTATCACATATGCCAGCATAGGACTCTTCCAACAATCCTCAGTAATAAGCTCTATATGATGAAAATGGTGGAACTGAAACAGAGGCTAGTGTGTTCCCAGAAAGTACACTAAACACATCTGTCTAGTTCAAAGAAACAATAACTAAAGGCCTACTCCCTTCCCCAGAAGGTTAGACCATTTAGAGCAGTGAATGAATGCCTGAGGGGGCCTCTTAAGCACCCCGACATAATAATTAGATCTAGAGAGAACAAATGAGTGAATCATGACTTCAGTTGCACAATAGTCCCAGTTGGAATGGCGAGTTAAATTAGAATTAAACCCAGGGAGGCTTGAAAAGTCACATCCAGGAACAGCTCTATTTAAATAGAAGGCACCACATGGCTGCCATGAAAGAAATTAAGGTTAACTGTAATCAGCAGGTAATGAAAGACCATTTGTCACGTGTGACCTTAATGTGATGAGATGCCCTTCAATGAAATTGGAGTTTCTAGAGTTTTTTTTTTTTTTATTAAAGCTAAGACATTCTTTTAAGGCTGGAAAGAAGACACACACACACACACACCCCAAATTTTTAAAATAAGAGCAGAAGATAGTGGACTAGAAGGTGCTTAGCAAATCCACACAATCTCAACAGAACTCCGAGGCCCATGGTTGAGGATAAAAATGAGATGACATTCACAGATGCTCACCATGTGCCAGGCACTGCTCTAAACGCTTTAAGTTTCAAAGCAATTCTCTGAGATCAAATGTATTGGCATTCCTAGTTCACGGATGAGGAAGCTGAGATACAGAGACTGAGGCCAAGGCCAAAATAAGGTAGGTGGCCGCCCCAGAATTTGAACCCAAGTGGTTGACTCTACGACCCGGTCTTAGTTATTACATTCTACTAACTCAGATAGATAGATGTAATATATACCATCATATAACATGTAAAAACAACAAAATGATCTGTATCATTTATATTTTCTCAGTAACCCAATTATAGAAAACAACAGCACATAAAAGCATTCTTCAATGTAGCCTGCTATAATAAGG